GATGGCTTTTATGATATTGAGGTATGTACCCTCTATCCCTATACTCTGAAGTGTTTTGATCAAGAAAGGATGCTGTACTTTGTCAAATGCTTTTTCTGTATCTATTGAGACGATCATATGATTCTTGTTCTTTCTTCTGTTAATGTATTGTATCACGTTGATTGATTTGCGGATGTTGAACCAGCCTTGCAGCCCAGGGATAAATCCCCACTTGGTCATGGTGAATAATCCTTTTAATGTACTGTTGGATCCTATTGGCTAGTATTTTGGTGAGAATTTTTGCATCCATGTTCATCAAGGTTATTGGTCTTTAATTCTCCTTTTTGATGAGGTCTTTGTCTGTTTTGGGGATCAAGGTGTGCTGGCCTCTTAAAATGAGTTTGGAAGTTTTCCTTCCATTTCTATTTTTTGGAACAGTTTCAGGAGAATAGATATTAATTCTTCTTTAAATGTCTGATAGAATTCCCCTGGGAAGCCATCTGGCCCTGGGCTTTTGTTTATTGGGAGATTTTTGATAAGTCCTTCAATTTCCTTAGTGGTTATAGGTCTGTTCAGGTTTTCTCTTTCTTCCTGGTTCAATTTTGGTAGTTGATACATCTCTAGGGTTGCACCCATTTCTTCCAGGTTATCTAATTTGCTGGCCTAGAGTTGCTCATAATATGTTCATATAATTGTTTGTGTTTCTTTGGTGTTGGTTGTGATCTCTTTCGTTCATGATTTTGTTGAGTTGGGTCATTTCTCTTTTCTTTTTGAGAAGTCTGGCCAGCGGTTTATCAATCTTGTTAATTCTTTCAAAGAACTAGTTTCGTTGATCTGTTCTACAGTCCTTTGCTTTCTATTTCATTAATTTCTGCTCTGATCTTTATTATTTCTCTTCTCCTGCTGGGTTTAGGCTTTATTTGCTGTTCACTCTCCATCTCCTTTAGGTGTCGGGTTAGGTTGTGTATTTGAGACCTTTCTTGTTTCTTGAGAGAGGCTTGTATGGCTATATACTTTCCTCTCAGGACTGCCTTTGCTGTATCCCAAAGATTTTAAACAGTTGTGTTTTCATTTTCATTGGTTTCCATGAATTTTTTTAATTTTTCTTTAATCTCCCGATTGACCCATTCTTTCTTTAGTAGGATGCTCTTTAGCCTGCATGTATTTGAGTTCTTTCCAACTTTCCTCTTTTAATTGAGTTCTAGTTTCAAAGCATCGTGTTCTGAAAACATGCAGGGAATGATCCCAATCTTTTGGTACTGGTCGAGACCTGATTTTTGATGTAGGATCAATTCTGGAGAATTTTCCATGGGCACTAGAGAAGAATGTGTATTCCGTTGCTTTGGGATGGAATGTTCTGAATATGTCTGTGAAGTCCATTTGGTCCAGTGTGTCATTTAAAGTCTTTATTTCCTTGTTGACCTTTTGCTTAGATGATCTGTCCATTTCAGTGAGGGGGGTGTTAAAGTCCCCCACTATTATTGTAGTGTCGTCAATGTATTTCTTTTCCTTTGGTATTAATTGCCTTATATAATTGGCTGCTCCCATGTTAGGGGCATAGATATTTCCAATTGTTAGATCTTCTTGTTGGATAGACCCTTTAAGTAGGATATAGTGTCCTTCCTCATCTCTTATTACAGTTTTTGTTTTAAAATCGAATTTGCCTGATATAAGAATTGCCACCCCAGCTTTCTTTTGGTGTCCATTAGCATGGTAAATGGTTTTCCACCCCCTCACTTTCAATGTGGGGGTGTCTTTGGTCTAAAATGAGTGTCTTGCAGACAGCATATTTATGGGTCTTGTTTTTTAATCCAATCTGATAGCCTGTGTCTTTTGATTGGGGCATTTAGCCCATTTACATTCAGGGTAACTATTGAAAGGTATGAATTTAGTGGCATTGTTTTGCCTGTGTGGTGACTCTTAATGTATATTGTCTGTGTTCCTTTCTGATCTATGCTGCTTTTAGGCTCTGTTTTTGCTTAGAGGACCCCTTTCAATATTTCTTGTAGGGCTGGTTTCGTATTTGCAAATTCCTTTTGTTTTTGTTTGTCCTGGAAGCTTTTTACCTCTCCTTCAATTTTCAATGACAGCCTAGCTGGATATAGTATTCTTGGCTGCATATTTTTTCTCGTTTAGTGCCCTGAAGATATCTTGCCAGTCCTTTCTGGCCTGCCAGGTCTCTGTGGATAGGTATGTTGCCAATCTAATATTTCTACCATTGTAGGTTACAGATCTCTTCTTCCGAGCTGCTTTCATGATTTTCTCTTTGTCTCTGAGACTTGTAAGTTTTACTATTAGATGTCGGGGTGTTGACCTATTATTATTGATTTTGAGAGGGGTTCTCTGTGCCTCCTGGATTTTGATGCCTGTTTCCTTCCTCACATTAGGGAAGTTCTCTGCTATTATTTGCTCTAATATACCTTCTGCCCCTCTCTCTCTTTCTTCTTCTTCTGGGATCCCAATTATTCTAATGTTGTTTCGTCTTATCGTATCAGTTATCCCTCGAATTCTGCCCTCGTGATCCTGTAGTTGTTTCTCTCTCTTTTTCTCAGCCTCTTTATTTTCCTTCATTTGGTCTTCTATATCGCTGATTCTCTCTTCTGCCTCATTTATCCTAGCAGTTAGTGCCCCCATTTTTGATTGCACCTCATTAATAGCCTTTTTGATTTCGACTTGGTTATATTTTAGTTCTTTTATTTCTCCAGAACGGGTTTCTCTAATAACTTCCACGGTTTTTTCAATCCAAGCTAGTATCTTTAAAGTCATGATTCTTAACTCTAGGTCCGACATCGTACTAATGTCCGTATTGAGTAGGTCCCTGGCTGACAGTACTACCTTTTATTCTTTTTGCTGAGGTGATTTTTTTCCTCTTGTCATTTTGTCCAGAGGAGAACAGATGAATGAGAGATCAAAATGCTAACAGGTTAACAATGTCCCCAGCAAATATACTCTATACAAATCAGAAAAGACCTGAAACCAGGGGAAAAGAAAGGGAAAGAAAGAGAAAAGAAAGAGAAAAAAAAAAGATAATAAAAAAGATAAAAACAAAAACAGAACTATACAAAAAAAGCAGAATATGATCAAATATGATCAGACTAGTGTATAGATCAGTGCCACATACTAGATTTTGGGTTTATTTTGGTCTGTTAGAAAAAAGTGCCTCCTAAAATTTTACAGGAAGAAAGACATATATGTACCAAATAAGGGTTGATACAATGAAGGGATGTAAGATGACTGTAAAGATGAAAATTATAAAAGATTTTATAAAAGGAATTGATAAGAAGTCGTTTGAAAAAAGAAAGAAGAAGATTAAAAAAAAAAAGAAAAGGAGAGAATGTGATCAGTCAGGAGACTAGAACAAAACCATACACTAGTTATTTAGGGTATATTTTGATCTGTTAGAAGAAACTGTATCTCAACATTTTAAAGAGAGAACAACTTATATATATATATGCCAAAAATAAGGGTAACTACTATGAAGGGATAAAATATGACTCTAAAAATGAAAGATAAAAAATGTTTTTTTTTTAAAAAGGGATTGATAAGATGGTTGAAAAAGGGAAAAAGAGAAATTAAAAAAAAAACAGTTAAAAAAATTAATTTTGATGACCTAATGAATCATGGTAAAAAAAGCCATGAATTCTGTGTGCAGTATTCCCCTAGCGCTGGAGTTCTCCCGTTCTCCTTGATCGGTAAACTTGGTCTTGGCTTGCTGGCTGTTCGGGCTGATCTTTTGGGGGACGGGCCTGTTGCCGTGGTTTCCAAATGTCTTTGCCAGAGGCTGAATTGCCCCGCCCTTGTCGGTTCGGGCTAAGCAAGCTGCTCGGGTTTGTTCTCAGGAGATTTTGTTCCCTGCAAGCTCTCGGTATAGCTTTGGAGGACCAGGGTGAAAATGTTGGCCTCCCAATCTCCACCCAGAGGAGCTTAGACCTCGGGGCCCCGCTCCTCAGTGCGCCCCCAGAGAAAAGCAGTCACTCCCGTCTCCCTGGTCTCCGGCTGCACTCTGTGCTCACCCGGCCTGTGACCGAGCATTTCCATCTCTGGCACCCGACCCAGTGTGGACTCTCCAAACCCAGCAGATCCCTGCAGTGCGCTCCTGCGCCGCTCCTCCCGGGGGAGGAAGGGGAGTCTCCCTGGCTCTGCCGCTTGCTGGGTCCCTGCTGGAGGAGCAGTGGCCCGACTGGGCCGCGGATCACAGTTTATGGCCACCTCGAGCTGAGAGCCTGCACCTCGGCTCCGTCTCTGCAGCCGGCTTCTCCGCTACATACCTGAGAGCTCTGCTGCACTCAGGCACCCCCAGTCTTTCTGTGACCCCAAGGGTCCTGAGACCACACTGTCCCGGGAGGATTCCACCCCCCGCTTAGCCACTGGAGCCACATCCCTCAGCGGAGCCGACTTCTAAAAGTTCCGATTTTGTGCTCCGTGGCTCTATCACTTGCCAGAAGCGGCCGACGGAGGCCCCCTCCCCCGCCGTCTGTCCTCCCGAATTTCGCCTTGGATTCACTTCTCGGCACGTCCTACCTTCCAGTAAGTGGTCGCTTATCTGTTCAGAGAGTTGTTGCTATTCTTCTCTTTGATCTCCTGTTGAGTTCTTAGGTGTTCAGAATGGTTTGATCCCTATTCAGCTGAATTCCTGAGACCAGACAAAATCCAGGTCTCCTACTCCTCTGCCATCTTGCTGCGGCCCCTGGCATTTCATTTTTTTGTAATGCTAGTTTCAACTGTTTGATTTGCATGTTCTCTACATCACTAGACTTCAGGCGCTTTAAGGCAAAATAGTATCTTAAAGGTTTTTTGCATAATCTTCAGGATCATTGTTGATATTCCTGAAGCACTTACTAAGTGAATCAAGTAATTACTGGTGATGCTTGATATTAGAGATTTAGTTTCCCTTGGAGAAATATTTGATTTCTCTATATAGAGTGTAAGCATTTACTTTGAGGTAGAAAATTTGCATTTCTAAGAAACTAAAATGCCTTGAAAATTTTTTATTTTTGCACTCATTTGTTCTGTATTTTCAGGACTGCTGGGAAAGATCCTCATGGCTATCCGGGATGCAGGTTTTGAAATCTCAGCTATGCAGATGGTAGGTAGTTTGCAATAACTCATGATCTATTGACAGATTTCTTTTTTTAATGTTTTATATTGAATTTTCTCTGTGCACTTGTGAATTCAACACATTAAAAAGATATAGTTACTGAACTTGACAACCTTATAACAAAAAATGTTTTTGAAATTACTTTACCGATATAATCTTTCACTGAGGGAACTAAAATTCAAACCGTACACCTAATTTAAGATTATAAAACAGGTTTATACAGTTCCTGAAACTTTGGTTGCAAAATAAGTATCGATGGAAACAATGTATTTAGTTCCTACAAACAAAAAATAGAATTGAGTAGTTAATACTGAGCTCTCTGTTATTTGGTGACTAAGAAGAGAATGGAGAAAGAGAATCAGTTGAGATTTTCTCCTTAAGTAGGACGTTTTCCTGACTTCTGGGCTTTCCCTCAGAACCTTCTTTGGAGTTAGCACATTTTAGCTTCTGTTGGCAGTCACACCACTTGACCTCCAAAACCCACAACTGTTCAGAATTGCCTAGTGGATGCATTTATAGGAAACCCTTCACTGAGGAAACAACACCCACTTCCGTAGAGCTCTCATACCTTTGTGCTGTATTTACCAGTGCACTTGACAAAAAATTGGGTACAAGTTGTAATAGGAATCAGCTAAACAATTTGGGTTTTACAGTGTGTGAAGACAGCAAGTTTTTGCTATTTTGATAATGAAATACTGACTTTGGAGCTGAGATTTTTCTTATCAATATAATTTATGTGTTCTTTTCCTGAAAAGGAACTGCTTTTGATTTCTGCTAAGTATTAGCATCACCCAAAATCAGGGGTCAGGGTGGGAACTGGGATTCTGACAGTTTTGTGTCCCTAATTGGTAGGAATGCCCACAAACCAAAAAAAGGGCAGAAATATCAACTAGTTTGCAGAGTCATCAGGGAAAACTTGGAGACTAATAAGAAAGTTAGAGAATCTTACCTATGATTATAAAGAAATTGTTAGCCAAAATGTTCTGAAAGTATTAGCTTGGTGATGTATTCATAGGATTGTAGGACCTGCTTTAAAAATGTGTGTTTTGTAGAAAATTTGGATTTTTTTTAAAGATTATATTTATTTGACAGAGAGAGACACAGCACAAGAGGGAACATAAGCAGAGGGAGTGGGAGAGGGAGAAGCAAGTTTCCCCCGCTGAGCAGGGAGCCCAATGTGGGGCTCAATCCCAGGACCCTGGGATCATGACCTGAGCTGAAGGCAGATGCTTAATGACTGAGCCACCCAGGCGCCCCTAGAAAATTTAGATTTAAACATTGATCTAACTCTAGGCCCTCAACCTAGCATAGTTGGCCAGAGTAGGTGTTCGGTGAAAACAAGAATAATAATTAAGAAAATGATTGATTGAGCCTATGGGGGAGGCATGATACTTTAGTGGCAATCTCAGTCATTGAGTTTTGGAGTCAGGAAGCTCTATTTCTGAATTGTCGGTCAGCTTCCTTTTAAACTCGTGGGTCTGCTGGCCAGTGAGAACATTATTTGCCTCAATGGATTATTTTAGGAATTAAATGAAATAACCTTAGGCAATGCCTTGTAGAATTTCCAGGGCAAATTATAAGTACTTAATAAGTTATACGTTCTACTATTTTGTTATATTAAAAGTACAAGTTGTGGGACTATAGGCTAAAACACTGAAATCAAACAAAATTCACTACCTGTAATAGTTATGTTGCCTGTGAAATAAATCCTCCCAGTTTGAATTAATGCCCGGGTAGTCAGAAATTTCTCAGTCATCTTCAATTCCGGTGACAATAAAGAAACAAAGTAGGGGAGAAAATAAAATTGTAAATTCTGAGGCTATTTTTTTAAAAAAATTTAAGGTCTTAGTCCTTGAGACCCTAGAACGTAATGGAATTTTATTTTATTTTTTTATTTTTATTTTTTTAATGGTATTTTTTTTTTTTAAGATTTTATTTATTTATTTGACACAGACAGAGAAAGCACAAGTAGACAGAGCGGCAGGCAGAGGGAGAGGTAGAAGTAGGCTCTCCACTGAGCAGGGAGCTGGACGTGGGGCTCGATACCAGGACCTCAGGTTCATGACCTGAGCCGAAGGCAGCCGCTCAACCAACTGAGCCACCCAGGCCTGCAATTTGCCCCTGCAATTTTATTTTTAACTAAATTTGAATCCAGCCTGGAAATGCTTTACTATGAACGAGACGGGATTTTTCTGAATGCTTGGGAGGAAAAGTGTATTATTTTTAGCTGCTACAAAATCTGAAGTACTTTTCCTTAGTAATATTTTTTGGGCCACTAACCTATCAGTAGACAACATGACATTGCATATAAATTTTTCGTGTGTGTTGAGAATGAGGTTTTATCGAAGAGAGGTATACTGTAGTGGTTAAGAGCATGACCAGTGGGGTCAGATTGCTTGAGATGGAACACAGATCTGAAAGTTAGATAACCTTATGTCATGGGGTCATTGTGAGGATTAAATGAGATGATGCATGAAAGCAATGGAATACACATTCTTCTCTAGTGCCCATGGAATATTCTCCAGAATAGATCACATCCTAGGTCACAAATCAGGTCTCAACAGGTACCAAAAGATTGGGATTATTCGCTGCATATTTTCAGACCACAATGCTTTGAAACTAGAACTCAGTCACAAGAAGAAAGTCGGAAAGAACTCAAATACATGCAGGCTAAAGAGCATCCTACTAAAGAATGAATGGGTCAACGAGGAAGTTAAAGAAGAATTAAAAAAATTCATGGAAAGCAATGAAAATGAAAACACAACTGTTCAAAATCTTTGGGATACAGCAAAGGCAGTCCCGAGAGGAAACTATATAGCAATCCAAGCCTTTCTCAAGAAACAAGAAAGGTCTCAAATACACAACCTAACCCTACACCTAAAGGAGCTAGAGAAAAAACAGCAAATAAAGCCTAATCCCAGCAGGAGAAGAGAAATTATAAAGATCAGAGCAGAAATCAATGACATAGAAACCCAAAGAACAGTAGAACAGATCAACGAAACTAGGAGCTGGTTCTTTGAAAGAATTAACAAGATTGATAAACCCCTGGCCAGACTTATCAAAAAGAAAAGAGAAAGGACCCAACTCAACGAAATCATGAATGAAAGAGGAGAGATCACAACTAACACCAAAGAAACACAAACAATTATAAGAACATATTATGAGCAACTCTATGCCAGCAAATTAGATAATCTGGAAGAAATGGATGCATTCCTGGAGATGTATCAACTACCAAAACTGAATCAGGAAGAAATAAAAAACCTGAACAGACCTATAGCCACTAAGGAAATTGAAGCAGTCATCAAAAATCTCCCAACAAACAAGAGCCCAGGGCCAGATGGCTTCCCAGGGGAATTCTACCAAACATTTCAGAAGAATTAATACCTATTCTCCTGAAATTGTTCCAAAAAATAGAAATGGAAGGAAAACTTCCAAACTCATTTTATGAGGCCACCATTACCTAGATCCCCAAACCAGACAAAGACCTCATCAAAAAGGAGAATTACAGACCAATATCCTTGATGAACATGGATGCAAAAATTCTCACCAAAATACTAGCCAGTAGGATCCAACAGTACATTAAAAGGATTATTCACCACGACCAAGTGGCATTTATCCCTGAGCCGCAAGGTTGGTTCAACATCCACAAATCAATCAACGTGATACAATACATTAACAGAAGAAAGAACAAGAATCATATGTTCCTCTCAATAGATGCCGAAAAAGCATTTGACAAAGTACAGCATCCTTTCTTGATCAAAACTCTTCAGAGTATAGGGATAGAGGGTACATACCTCAATATCATAAAAGCCATCTATGAGAAACCTACAGCGAATATCATTCTCAATGGGGAAAATCTTAGTGCTTTCCTCCTAAGTTCAGGAACATGGTAGGGATGTCCACTATCACCACTGCTAGTCAACATTGTATTAAAAGTCCTAGCCACAGCAATCAGACAACAAAAAGAAATCAAAGGCCTCCAAATCGGCAAAGAAGAAGTCAAACTCTCACTGTTTGCAGATGATATGATACTTTATGTGGAAAACCCAAAAGACTCCACCCCAAAACTGCTAGAACTCATACAGAAATTCAGTAAATGACAGGATATAAAACAATGCACAGAAATCAGTGGCATTCCTATACACCAACAACAAGACAGAAGAGAGAGAAATTAAGGAGTCGATCCCATTTACAATTGCACCCAAAACCATAAGATACCTAGGAATAAATCTAACCAAAGAGGTAAAAGATCTGTACTCAGAAAACTATAAAATACTCATGAAAGAAATTGAAGAAGACACTAAGAAATGGAAAAACATTCCATGCTCATGGATTGGAAGAACAAACATTGTGAAGATGTCCATGCTACCTAGAGCAATCTACACATTCAGTGCAATCCCCATCAAAATACCATCCACTTTTTTTCAAAGAAATTGAATAAATAATCCTAAAATTTGTAGGGAACCAGAAGAGACCCCGAATAGCCAGAGGAATATTGAAAAAGAAAAGCAAAGCTGGCAGCATCACAATTCCGGAGTTCCAGCTCTATTACAAAGCTGTCATCATCAAGACAGTATGATACTTGTGCAAAAACAGACACATAGATCAATGGAACAGAATAGAGAGCCCAGAAATGGACCCTCAACTCTATGGTCAACTAATCTTTGACAAAGCAGGAAAGAATGTCCAATGGCAAAAAGACAGTCTCTTCAACAAATGGTGTTGGGAAAATTGGACAGCCACATGCAGAAGAATGAAACTGGACCATTTCCTTACACCACACACAAAAATAGACTCCAAATGGTTGAAAGACCTAAATGTGAGACAGGAGTCCATCAAAATCCTAAAGGAGAACACAGGCAGCAGACTCTTTGACCGTAGCCACAGCAACTTCTTCCTAGAAACATCGCCAAAGGGAAGGGAAGCAAGGGCAAAAATGAAGTATTGGGATTTCATCAGATAAAAAGCTTTTCCATGGCAAAAGAAACAGTCCACAAAACCAAAAGTGAACCGACAGAATGGGAGAAGATATTTGGAAATCACATATCAGATAAAGGGCTAGTATCCAAAATCTATAAAGAACTTAAACTCAACACCCAAAGAACAAATGATCCAATCAAGAAATGGGCAGAGGACATGAACAGACTTTTTTCCAAAGAAGACATCCAAATGGCCAACAGACACATGAAAAAGTGCTCAAGTTCGCTCGGCATCAGGGAAATCCAAATCAAAACCTCCATGAGATACCGCCTCACTCCAGTCAGAATGGCTAAAATTAACAAGTCAGGAAACGACAGTTGCTGGCGGGGATGTGGAGAAAGGGAAACCCTCCTACACTGTTGGTGGAAATGCAAGCTGGTGCAACCACTCTGGAAAACAGTATGGGGGTTCCTCAAAAAGTTGAAAATAGAGCCAGCATACAATCCAGCCATTGCACTACTGGGTATTTACCACAAAGATACAAATGTAGGGATCCGAAGGGGTACGTGCACCCCGATGTTTATAGCAGCAATATCCACAATATCCAATTTGTGGAAAGAGCCAAGATGTCCATCGACAGATGAATGGATAAAGAAGAAGTGGTATATATACACAATGGAATATTATGCAGCCATCAAAAGGAATGAGATCTTGCCATTTACAACGATGTGGATGGAACTGGAGGGTGTTATGCTGAGTGAAATAATTCAATCAGAGAAAGACATGTATCATATGACCCCACTGATATGAGAAATTCTTAATGTCAGGAAACAAACTGAGGGTTGCTGGAGTGGGGGTGGGGTGCGAGGGATGGGGTGGCTGCGTGATGGACATTGGGGAGTGTATGTGCTATTATGAGTGCTGTGAATTGTGCAAGACTGTTGAATCGCATATCTGTACCTCCGAGAGAAATAATGCAATATATGTTAAGGGAAAAAAAAAGAAGAAAATAGAAGGAGGGGAATAATGAAGGGGGGTAAATCGGACGGGGAGTGAACCATGAGAGATGATGTACTCTGAAAAAGAAACTGAGGGTTCTAGAGGGGAGGGGTGTGGGGGATGGGTTAGCCTGGTGATGGTTATTAAAGAGGGCACGTTCTGTGTGGAGCACTGAGTGTTATGCACAAACAATGAGTCATGGAACACTACCTCAAAAACTAATGATGTAAGGTATGAGGATTAACATAACAATAAAAAGTTTAAAGAAAAAAATAGGAGGGGAAGAATGAAGGGGGGAATCGGATGGGGAGATGAACTATGAGAGACAATGGACTCTGAGAAAGAAACTGAGGGTTCTAGAGGGGAGAGGGGTGGTGGGATGGGTTGGCCTGGTTTTGGGTATTAAGAAGGGCACGTTCTGCATGGAGCACTAGGTGTTAGGTGCAAACAATGAGTCATGGATCACTACATCAAAAACTAATGATGTAATGTATGGTGATTACCATAATATAATAATAATAATAAAAGAATATTAAGACTTTTTTTTTCAAAGAAAAAATGAGATGTTGCATGTACAGGTCCTAGAACAGTGCTTTATACATTAAGTATTCAATAAATGTTATCTATTTTTATTACTGATGAGCTAATCTTTAACAACACCTTTTCATAGTACTTAATTTTTGCAAGGTTTATATTTTAAAGTAAAGAAAATATATCCAAGAGATCATAAATGCTGAGTGCTGAGTATGGTTCATTTTGTTCTTTTGGTGGTTGGCTTATGTTTTGTTTTGTTTCAATCCAGTTCAACATGGATCGAGTTAATGTTGAAGAGTTTTATGAAGTTTATAAAGGAGTGGTGTCTGAGTATAATGTAAGTATCAAAGTAAATGTAAAGCATTGTTACTGAAAACAGTTTGTGTATCTTAAATCTGGGGGATCTCAGTATAGTTGGTAATCATGCAATTATTCGCGAGTCTGCCAGTTGCCAGCTGATCATACCCAGTGACTGAGGCATTCTTACCTCTGAGAGCCACTCGATCATTTTTTAAAATATCTTACTGTTTCATTTGTGAAACAAAAATATACCACAATGAAAAAAAAGTTGCTGGGATATTGACACATTTGGACATTCTTTATGAAGTTTATAATATTCTCAGATTGAAAGACTCTCCAAAGTGCTTTAGAAAGTTAAAAGCAAATAGTTACAGTATAACACCATAGCATTATTTAACATCTACTTTAATGATATAAATGTAGGTAGAATCATCTGAAAATGTAACTGAGACTGAAGAAATAAGATTTAAAAGGAGTTGGTCAGAGGGCAATGAAATACATTCTGAAAACAAATGACTATTTGAATAAGCCAAATATTTTTCCTTAAAATAAAACATAGATATTTGATCAAAATTAGTTTCCTTCTGCTCCTTATAAAATTTTCTTAGATACATTTGTGCTGGTGGACTGCCTCCTCACCTACATTGTTTTACAGAGTTTGACTTTTTCTTTTTTTTTTTGGCATAAAGTTTACTGTTCTTGACAATGAGACTAGATTCTCCTTCTCACTTCTCTATGACTTTTCCTTTCAACCTTCCTTAAATAGGACAAATGCACTGGTCTGAGAACTGGCCTGAGCCTTTGTCTTATTTAGTCCTACAAAGTCAAGACTGATTGTGAAATCTATTTCATCCTCAGTGTACTGTTGGTTTCCACCCTTGTTTAGAGGAGCCAGAGTGGCTTTCCTTCTGTAACAGCTTATTCAACCTTAATCTTATGAGCTTCTTCATTTAGTTTTGCCTTTTCTTAAATGGAAGAATTTTAAAATGTGTTATCACTTAATTCAATCAGAGACAGCTGTTTTCCATTTCTTAGATCTCTTTTATATATTTTCTTTCTTTTATTTGTTAGAGTTTACTTTAGAAAATATGGTTGAAAACTGCTACCTTCTTCCATTCATGTTATATTATAGCTCTTCTGTACATAAGATCGACCCATGGAGACATATCTTTTGATCATCAGTTACATTCTCCTACAGTATCATGTAGTATTGAATTTGGTAACAGATAGTTGAGGACACTAGTGTAGTGTGCATATCTGAGATGGGCTATATTTCCCTTTGGAAAATAACTTTAAAAAACCCCTCATCTCTCACTTAATGTCTCCTATATTGTACTTTAAAATACTATACATGTAATTTATTTTTATGTAATACATATTTACTCAGGATTTTTTCTTTTGATTTGGGAAATTCTATTGTAAAACTAAAAACATCACAGGAATTTGAATGACAGTAGCAATATCATACTGTAATGTCAGGATATCCTGGCTGGAATAATTGGTGTTGATGTGCTTTCCTCTGTCTGATACTCTCAGTAAGATACTATCTGTAACTACTATTTAAATCTTGTGATATTAATAACAGAGTCTACTTAAGATAAAGAACATATGGGCTGTTTGGGAAGAAAATATTACATTACTTCAGAGTTAGCCTTGTGAGCCATTTTTAGGAATGCTTATCATTTTTTATTCAGCTTGAAATGGTTTATTTGGTGTAAAACAAATATTTCAAATTATAATTGGTTTAGAGTGTTCTGTTAATGGGAAAATGGAGTATATAAATGAATGAGAACATTATCCAGGTATCTTTATGAGATGTTCTGTATTTATATGATATAAAATTCTGTTGAAACTAAGGGAAGTTTCTTTGAAAATTTTGTCCAAAGGGAAATAAGAATGTTTTTATCCCAGTAATGTTTTGTTGAAGTAATTAATATTCTTATGAATCTTCTTATTCTAATGCTTTTAAAAGTGTTTTTTCCATTTACAATTCAGTTTTGTTTAAAGGAAGTTGTGTGAGGATCTGTATCTGTATACTACAAATGCATGTGATTGAAGTATCTTTTATTGGTTGAGACACCAAAAATCAGTTAGCAAATACTGAGTCTCACTTGCTATTGTGACCATTGTATTTCCCACTAGGCCTCTTATTTTTCATGACAGTTAATATTCAGGACTTGAGTTTAAGCTCAAGGAAAAGGTAAATTTTTAAATGCTGTATACTATTGGATGTCTCTTAGTTTTAGGAAGTTTATCTAATTCAAAAAGAAGACCCTGTAAAAATAATCTTAAGAGGCAACATAGTCTAAAGGGACAAAAACAGGTGATTTGATTCTTATTCTGACTTTCCATACAACACTTTATCCTCTTTGTCTCCAGATTCTTACTTATAAAATAAATGATAAGATATATAAGGTCATAATAGTGGGTCCACTTATTTATTTATCTAAATGTAAAGATATATTGGTGAAATGATCCTTTATTTTTTTTAAAGATTTTTATTTATTTATTTGACAGAGAGACACAGCGAGAGAGGGAACACAAGCAGGGGGAGTGGGAGAGGGAGAAGCAGGCTTCCTGCTGAGCAGGGAGCCCGATGCGGGGCTCGATCCCAGGACCCTGGGATCATGACCTGAGCTGAAGGCAGACGCTTAAGGACTGAGCCACCCAGGCGACCCTGAAATGATCCTCTTAAATGTAGGATGTATAGTGTGAAATAGGGCAGCGTCGCTGACATTGTTGTATCTGACATAATTCTTTGTAGTAGATTCGATGTTGCTCATCTATACTTATATTTGCTGCTTCAGCATTTGCAGTCATAAAAGTGATAATTCCTATCTCGTTGTGTTATCACAGCCCACTTATTTACTACATATATATACTGAGTAGCTACTATGTGCCAAACAATGTGTTAGATATCAAGTAGGGAGATGAACAAAAAAAAGCTCATGACCTGCATTCATGGAGCTTATGTTCTGGTGAGGATGGACATTAAATCAGATGATCCCATTATAAAAGACAGGAGTCAAAGGGCTGTGAAGGAAACAAACAGGTATTTTGGTTTTGGTAATTTTTTAATTAGTTAAAAACCTAGGTGACTTGAGAATTTTGTTGAGTCCGTTTTTTAAGGAGTATATTATGCTTTTGATGGAGTCCTTTTTCCAAGATGTTTTTTTCTTTCCATTTTGTACATTTGCATAGCCCTTTATGTCTGTATTTTTAGTGGTATTTGTGATTAACAATGAAAGACAAGGAGAGAGGCAAATGAAATAAAAGCAGACAAAATTCACTCCTCTCTTTTTGGATGGCATGTTCCTGCTGCCTTCTGCCCCTACTGAGAACTTGGCTCTTGACATTTATGTGTAGGCAGTACTTCAATATCATGAGACAGAAAATCAGATTCAACATAATTATCCATAAAAGATCAATTACATATGACCTTTGTGAAATAGCAAAGTGACTTCAGGGGGATACCTTTAGGGATGCTAATGAGTAGGGTTCTGTGTACTATATTAAGCGTGAAGCTCTTATGGCTTCTGGTACTTCTGGCGTTTCTATTAGGTGTGATGACTGAGTTCCAATTAATATTTAAATATTGTTCTGTAATAAATTACCTTTATTTTACGTTGTCATTGTATGTCATAAACTCTCCAAATTCATTAAAATGGCTTGCATGTCCCTATGTGATCTGACCTCATCTCTTACTGCTTTCCTGTGGTCTCACTTTAGCTCCTGATATCCTGGCTCCTTTACTGATCTTCATACACACCAACTGTACTTCTGCCTCAGAGTCTTTATATTTATTTTCACTTCTTCCTGAAGTATTTTTCCCCATGTAGAGAAGAAAAGAACATTCATTTAGTATTCCAGACACTGTGAGAGGTACTTTTCTTTGATCATGTTTTTCATTGTACCACTTCACATGTAGTTAAGAACCTTAAGAGTATACTTCCATTTCCCCCTCTGTATGTACTGTGGTTGTCATATGTTTTTATTTCTATTTCTATTATAAACCCTGTAACGCATTTTTAATATTTTTGCTTTAAATAATCTTTCACACCAACTAAAAACATATGTTTTATATTTACCCACATGTTTATCATTGTTTTGTATAGATCCCTGTCTGGTACTTTTTTCTGTCTGTCTGAAGAACTTCCTTTAACATTTCTTATGGTATAGGGCTGCTGGTAGTGAATTCTCTCACATTTTGTCTGTCTGAAAAAGTTATTTTTCCTTCATCTGTGAAAAATATCTTCCAGGGAGCCTGGGCGACTCAGTTGGTTAAGTGTCCAACTCTTGATTTCAGCTCAGGTCATGATCTTGTGGTTGTGAGATTGAGCCCTGCATCAGGCTCTGCCCTGGGCATGAAGCCTGCTTAAGTTTCTCTCCCTCACCCTCTTTCTCTTCCCCTCCCTGCCCTTTTCCCAATCTCTATTAAAAAAAAAAAAAAATCTACCTGGGTATAGAATTGTAGGTTGACAGATTTTTGTTGTTGTCATTTACATCTTTCTTTGTTCTACTGTTATATGTCTTTTTGGGGGAGGGTTGTTTTTAAGGGTTTTTTGTTAATTTTTTTGTTGTTTGTTTTTAGCCAATTTAATTATTGGCTCACTGTACTTTGCATTTATTTTCCTTGGACTCTGTTGGATCCATTGGCTTATGAGTTTTATCAAATTTGAAAATATTTTAGCAGTTAATTCTTAGAATCTTTATCTGTTCATCACCCCTTCTTTTCTTTTTCTGGGACTCCCAATTATATACATATTAGACAGCTTGTCATTGGGAAAAAAAATTACTGTGGGACAGTTTTATTCATTCTTTCTCTCTGCTTGCTTTTGAGTAATTGGTATTTCATGTCTTCAAATTTATTGTCCTTCTGCAGTATTTTGTTTTGTTCATCCCATCCAGTGTATTTAATTCAGATGTAGTTTTTCATCACTAGAAGTTCCATTTGGGTCTTTTTTTTGAGTATGGTTGGCACAGTGTTACATTAGTTTCATGTGTACAGCATAGTGATTCAGTAACCCTGTATGTTATGCTGTGCTCACCATGAGTGTACTCTTTGGGTTTTTTTAATATCATTGATTTTCCTCTGCATCATGTCCATGTTTGCTTCGTCTAATTTGCATATAGAGCCTATTTACATTAGCTGTTTTAACATTCTGTGTAGCCAACATTTCTGTCATTGCTACATCTGTATCAATTTATTGAGTTTTCTTCGAGTGATGGTTCATATTTTCTTATTTCTTTTCATGCCTGGTAATTTTTATTGGATGCTGGATAATGTGAAATTTATAATGTTATATGGTATGTATGTCATATTCCTTCGAAGAGTATTTGACATAGTTTTGGCACTCACTGAAGTTACTTAGGATCAGTTTGACCATTTCAAGGCTTGCTTTTAAGCTTTACAGGAGGGGTACAGAGCATCCCATATATAAGGCCAACTATAATGGTGCAATACCCTTCTGAGGACTCTACCTGATGCCCTGTGTATCACAAGAGGGCTTTCTACTCCGGCTTGTGGAAATGCAAAGTCTTCTCAGCCTTGTGTTCTCTCTGTGAATGGTTTCACTTAACTGCTTCCGGTAGTTCTTTTCTTAGCTTTGGGTAGTTTCCTCTATACATATATAGACTCCTAGCCAAAGACTCAGGTGAACTTCTCTGCAGATCCCTGTAGCTTACTCTCCCATAGTTCTCTCACCTTCTCCAGTAATCTGTCCTGCAAATTCTAGCTACTTTGGCCTCCCTGAACTCCAGTCTTTGTCTCTTCTACTCAGTGAGAGTGTTGGGCTCTGTTGTGTTTCCTCTCCCTGTCCCACTGTCTGGAAACTTCATTCAGGCAGTAAGATGGGGCAGTCATATGGCTTACTTCATTTGATTCTCTTCTCTCAGGGATCATAATACCGTGCTGCCTGTCATCTAGTGTTTGAGAACTGTGGTTTCATATATATTGTCTGATTTCTAGATGTTTAATGTGAGAGAATCTGGTCCCTGTTTTTTTCATTTCTGAAAATGATTATGATTTTTAAAAGTGTCTTTGAAACTTTGAAGTTTATATCTTTAGAAATGTTCATTCAATAGGACTGTATTTAAGAGGAGAAACCTTTTAAAAGGAAGATGTACAAGAAGATCATTTCAATTAATGAAAGTATCAGGTGGTAAAGCATTAATTAAAATGATACTAGTGGTAGGAAATGAGATGAGGAAACATATCTGAAACACATTTTTGCAAGAGAAGTGGACAGAATTGGGGAGCTGCTTGGCATACGGGGTACGTGAGGATTCAAAGATAACAAAGATTTTAAGATTTGGAATAGTGGTACAGTAAAAGAGGATGAGTAAAAGATTATTAATTTTTACTAATTTTAAGTATTCTTTTATATTGTGCATCATAGGAGATGGTGAAAGAAATGTATTCTGGCCCTTGTGTAGCAATGGAGATTCAACAAAATAATCCTACAAAGACATTTCGAGAATTCTGTGGACCTGCTGATCCTGTAAGTTAGTGTTTAAAATATTAATCAAGCTTGTTTTATTCACTAGCTAAGTATCTTAACAGGTTTGATAGTTTTAATTTATTCTTTAAAAGAAATAATACCAAAATAATACTAAATCAGATAAATTTTTATTCAAAATAACATTTTGAATAATTTTTATATAATATTTCAAGAAAAAGTAAATTTTTTATTAGCCTAGTGACAGTATAGAATGGGCAGAAAGCTTTACTGTGGCACTTTCTTTTATTGTTTCTTCTTGCTAAATTGTCTAAATGAATTTATCAAGCTCTCTGATGGAAATTATCTAAGACACTAATTATCCTTTGACATGGGGAGGCTCTTAGTAAAGCTCTCAGTGTGAAGAATATTGATATGGTGGCCTCATACCATAAATATGAGCAATGGGACCTATGTGAAACTTGATAATCTCTAATATGTTTTTCATTTTGCTTTGGGTTTTCTTCATATAGACATGGGTGGAAAAAGGGGTGAAGAGGAAAGGGATGGGCCTAAAAAGCAAAAGTAGCGTTAGAGTACATATGAGAAATCTCCCTGCAAATGTTAAAAGCTGAGTAGTGATTTTAAACACTAATTTTTTTTAAAGATTTTATTTATTTATTTATTTATTTATTATTTATTTATTTATCTATCTATTTATTTATTTATTTATTTTAGGGGGAGAGAGAGAGAGCTCATGAGCCAGAGGAGGGGCAGAGGGGGAGAGAGAGGGACAAGCATACACCACACTGAGTGTGGAGCTCACTTGGGGCTCCATCTCATGACCCTGAGATCATGACCTGAGCTGAAACCACGAGTCAGATGTTTAATGGCCTGAGGCACCCAGGCGCCGCTAACTATAATTTAAATTTATTCTCTTTTCTTTATTTTACTATCACTTATAAATTGTTTATTGAATATGAGCATCCAATTCAGTTTAATCCAGACAGCATTTTTATGTTCCCTTGGATGTAGGATAGTAAGTTAACAGCACCTATTAAGAAATCAACTTGTGTGAGAGTGCTTGCTGCCAGATTAAGCTCTGTAGGGGAGAAGAGTACACACATAATGATCTTTTAGAACACTTAAAAAGAAACATACAATAAGGACTTAAATATTATTAGTTCAAATAAAATGCAAATGTTGAAGGATTGTTTAGTAAGGGAACAAATGATATGACCTGGAGATAATTGAGAAAACTTACACAGAGGAAGAGAGTTCTGAATCGGGATTTAAAGAAGAATCAAGGCACGAAGAGAATTGGAAAATCTCTAAAGCATATACACAGGCAACAGTGAAGGAATTTTGCAAATTTACTATGGTATACAGCAAGAATATTTGCTTGGCTTCAATAGGAAATGCATACCTAGAAGCACAAGGAAATACATTTTTTTAGATAGAGGAAATAAGGCAGCAAATGCTGGTAGAGGTGAATGTGAGATGGCTAGGCTAAAATTGTGAATTCTGTATGAGTGGAATCCCATGTGGTAGGAAATAGCAATTCCTCATATTTAGCTTAATTTGGAGCATATGGAGTCATTACCTTGATGCAAAAAGAGCATACTAAATTAGAAGAGATTAAAGGCAGGGGCTCTAGAAACAGTTAAGAGCGGACCTGATGCTCTTAGACACCATTAGAGAAAGAATTGGCAGGACCTACTTTCTATCTTTTCACGGAGAAAGAAGAATAGAAATAAGTATTAAATGTGGTTGTGAAAGAGTGATTATTCAAAGGTGACTCTGATGTAGAGGACCTTATGAGAAAATGGTGATTATTGAGTGTATATTGATTATTAATTGTAAGAAATTAGAAAGGGATACTTTTTGATTACATGAGTAAACAGATTTGATGTTTGCCATTTTTATATCTGATTTCTGTTGGCCAGGACAGGGTTTTGTTTATTGATTTTTTAAGATAATTAAAATTGTGAGTGAACAACTGACTGAACAAATGGGCAAATTAAAGAGATAAAAACTAGAACAAAAATTGAATGGGATGAGTATGTTCATTCTTTCATTCATTCCATAAGTATTTACTGAATCTGCTAGTATTTGTGAATATGAAGCCAGAAGTCTCAAAGAGCTTACAGTCTATGAGTGGGCAGTAAGTGGCTAATTTCCACGTTCCATGGCAATTGCAGTGTTAGATGCTTGCACTGGGTATGATGGGAGCCCAGAATTTTAGCATTTAGCTCAGCCTTGGGGGGGCAAAATAGCATCAGGGGAGACTTCTTGGAGAACATAACTTCTGAGCTGAATTGCAAGGAATGAGACCTTAGCTAAGTGAAGAAGGAGATGATATGATGAAAGGGAAGAATAAAACAGATTCACTTTCAGGCTACAGCAAGATCTTTATCATTACTGTAAAGTACTCGGCAGTGAATGACAGGATGAGGTCATCGGGAAGGAATTGGGGAGTGAGCAGCTGAGTAATAACAGAAGGAAAAGTCCTAACAATAAAAGTTTCCTGATTACCTCTCTTTCTAGATGTACATTCAGTGAACATTTACAGAGGGAATAGTATGTACAGGGCTCAGTGCTTGATCCCATGGCTGGGCCAAAAGGAAGACTAGAACAAGGTATCTTTCCTTAAAGAGCTCATAATCTCATGAGAGTTTAGTTTGGAAACTCTTCCAAGATCCTAAGTCTTCCCTCATTAAACATAGTTGGAATTACTCTACTATTCTTTTTTCATTTTAGTTGTCCATGAGCCCCTTATAGCATTATAGAAAGTTGTACTATTAGGGATATTAAAATTTGGTATGAATTTAACATATAAAATGTTAATAGTCATTGTCTTTGGGTGGTAGAAATATGATAATGTTAAATTCTACTTTCCTATATTTTACCAATTTTCCTTAAAGTACTTCTATTACTTTTACAATGAGAATAATGCCTTTTATTTTATCATAAAACTTGGAAGTGAATGAACTTTTAATTGAGGACTTGGTCCTGATTTGGGATGGATTTTCCTCTTGAGTCTCAGAGTCTTGAATTACATACTAAGTGCAGGTGCAGGATGTTAAGCAGGATCATGTGCCTTTGATGGATATATATAGATGGGTATATATAGATATTATATATATATATTAGATGGGTATATATGTCTATATATACATAGACATATGTATATAATCAGAAGAAATATCATTAGTAGTTATAGTCAAACATTAGGAACAATAAAATGGTTCTTACAGTTTGTTCTGAGACTTTGGTTTATTTAATTCTTCTTCCACTCCCTTTCTTTGTCCCTTTTCATCCACCCCTCCAGCAAAATTGTAAGCGTTGAATGCTTACTGTATGCTAGTCACTGTGCTAGGTGCTGCTACTAGGTTTATGGTAGTGATCAAATAAATACAGTCCTTACCTTTGAGGAACTTATACTCTAGTTTTAGGAGGTAGGATTGATAAATGGCAGTCTCACTCTAAACTGTCAGTGTGCCAACCTATTTATGTATTGTATTAAAATAATTTAGAAATTCATTTCATCACTGCATAGTCATTTCCATATCTGAAGAGAGACTGTGGGTTGCAAAACATGTAAATATAATCAGTGTCTGGGAAAAAGGCAAGGTATGTCATGGCATACAATTAATATTTGATAAATGAATAGACTGGCTATATTTTTATGTATACCTAAAATCTGGTATTAACTCATTATTTAAAAATATTTCACCTACCAAAATGAGTTCTTTTTTCTTTATTCCTTTCTAAGATGTAGAACTACTTTTTAAGTTGATTCAAAAGAAGGTTAAGCCTTACAGTGACTGTTAGACCACTTGGTAACTACATATGTTGTAGATGGACATCACTTTCATCATTGATGTCTGCACTATTGGCAGATTCATTCTCCTGTAGCTGGAAGGAAACACGCATTGTGTATGAACAGAATTTATTCCAGTCTCTCTAGAAGTGGTCTGCAAGAAGGGGTGGTTTACTTCACAGGTCACTGGTGGGGAAGGGTATGTTAAACTTTCCACTTTTATTTATTTACTATATAAAAAATAAATTAAGTTTTAATAAAATTTAATGTATAGACTAATAAGAGTACATTTATATAACCTGTTAAAATATATACATGTTTTGATGTATTTACATATTTTACTGACAAGGGTGCTTGAAAAATGTTGGAGTCTACTGCATAGAAGGGAAAAAAATATCACAACAGGTTTCTTTACAATTAGAGAAACATTCACTCACTACACCATCACCTGCAGAAAATACATCTACTTAGGCAGAAAACCTGATTTGCCTCTGGAAGAGGTTTTGATTGCACCTGCTCAAGAATTTCAATGTTGAGTAGCCTGGTAGTTTTCCTGCTGAGCCTTAGGAAACTGAAAGTCACCAAAGAAGTGGTAAATTGTCTGGAAAAATTGTGCAAAATATATTTGTTCTTGGACTGATGGGTATGACAAGCCAAATAACCTCACATCAGTATGCCTTATTTTATGAAAATATGTTTGTAAAATATTTTATGTAAAGGATTTTATTTAAGGGAATCTGAATTTTTGGTCAAGTGATTACTTATCCTCATGTGCTTGTATACTTTGATAACCTTTACCCCATGGCCAGATTGAATTAAGAGTCAAATATTTTCATACACAAAATGTGGCTCTTTAAAATTTTAATAGTTTCCCATCATTTGACTGTCAGAATGGTATTTCACCTGTTATTGAGTAGCCTTAACTGATTTTAGGCTTAAAGTGGAAGTATCATAATATTTTGAAATGCAGTTCTTTTTTCATGAATGTGCAGGGGGTTGTGGTAAACTTGGAAGAGAAATGCTTGGAGCTGATGTCTGTTTGTTTCTGTCATCTGTTGACTTCCTGGTTACATTCCTTTATTCCATGAAGACTGCAAACCCCTGATTATAGGTTTTCTCTTCATCCCAGTTCTTATCAACTTGGGTACAATAACACCCTAACACCCATGTGAAAGATTCACCCAGCACTGGGCCTCAGGGCTGAATGGACCATTTCTGTTAATTATCTTTAGTCATTCTG